TAAATGAATAATTGAATATAATAAGGTTTATTTAGATTTTGCTCCTAATTCATAAAATTTAAAAACATAAGGTTTTTATTTTAACAAAATTACAGACTTTACATTTGAAGGAGAAAGGCATAATGAAGATGATGAATAGTTTTAACTATTCATAAAAATTAGGTCACAGATAATATTAAACAATTATAGTTATAGATTTGCCTATTTATATTTCAAAGGATACTTCATTGAACTTTACTGTGAAAAATCTTGGAAGTGCTTCGATTTCATTTGTATATTGTGTCCAGTGGATCTTCTAATCTTACAAAGCACTGGTGAGCTTTGCTGTCTGATTTTAGTGTTAATCATAGTGAAGGTTTACCTACACGCATTTGTAAGAAGCATGGAACACTAAGGAAGTATCTAAAATGATGTGACATTTTGACAATGAAATAAGACATCCACTGGTTGAGCAGAGAAGTATTTCATGAAACTTCTTTTTAATATACTTAGGTACTTTTCTTCTACTTCTAGCGATGATACTAAGAAAATTTTCTTACTCTCACATTCTGGTTTTATTTTTACACAGCGCTGTTCCAGTTTAAATCTTTTTATATAAACTGACCCAGAACTACTTTCTCTATCTGAACTGGGAAATAATTATTAGATGCATTGTGCATGATTATATTTAAAACCTGGATTGTAAAATCTTCTTAAAATATATGGATACAAAAATTGAGTCATTCAAATTATTGTGCAGAATTGACAAATATTGTATGTTTTATTTTGTATAAATCTTTTAAAAATGGTTACATGGATATTTGAAACAGAATTTATGCATAATGCTAAAAAACAAAATAATTAAGCACATTAGAAAATTTTACTTGTACTTAACTCTATGAATTGACTTTAAGAATAATACAGGAGAGGATATATTCGTAGCCAAGACAATATATTCTGCTTTTTGAAAGCATTTGCCATTTTGGAAAATAGGTCATAGGAAGATAAACAAAACAGCTCTGTTTACTTCAGAAAAAAAATGTTTTACAAGGTATGGTGGCATTTAAAAGAAAATATACTGAATTTTTTTTCCAACATTGAAGAGATATTAAGGTGCCACATAAATTCCAGGCCAATAAAATCATATCAGGTTTATGTTAGGCTGCACCATAACAGCCTAACGAGAAGAAGAACCCGAAGAACCCACTAACTGTGATATCCTTGTTGGTACAGCAGAGTGACTGAGGCAGAAGACAAGCCGCAAGTCTGGACCTGACAATGAAACTGCCAAACAACCTTTCAGACATGTATCGAAGCTTGCAAACAAGAAGAGAAATTCCTCAGAGGTCAGGACACAGAGAACTGAAAACCAGGCAGTGAATGAGAACGGGAGAGAAGAACAGCGGCGCTGGGCTGGGTACCTTTGTGGGCTGGGTTTTGATGCCTGCGGAGGCGCTGCTAAC